GCTGGCCTTGAGCAACTTCAGAACCCCGAGAGGGCGCCGCTGTCTGCAGCCTGGGCCTGGGGCGCCCCGCCCCGTGGGAGACCCCCGCACCCCGCCCAGCAGAGCCCCGAGAAACCAGGCCCGGCCAGCAGAAGCCCTCGCTGCGGCCCGGGGCGGGCGCTGGCCGGCCTCCAAGCGCCCTGCGGCCCCGTGGCGCCCTGGCGAGGGCCGGAACCGCCCGGAGCCCGCGGCTCTGACTGAGGCGTCAAACTTGAGTTAAAGCCGAAGCCGTCGGCCCCCCGGGGCCCAGGGTCGGTCTGGCCGTCACCACCAGGCCTGGGCTCGATCCCGGCCGGAGGGACCCAGGGCCCGCAGCCCCTCCCGTCTCCCTGCCGCCCCCGGCGGTGGGTCTCGGTGGACCCGACCGTCCTGCCCCCCACTGTCTCTGGGGGTCCTCCACCCCGCACCTCTGGCCTGCGCCCCAGAGCTGTGCAGAAATAAATCAAACCTTAAAAAAAATGCAGATTGTTAAAAAAATAAACCAAAGCCGCAGCCCAGAGGTTCGCCCCTTCCCGTCATGACCGGCAGGAAGAGCAGCCGCCCCGCCGGGGAGCGGGAGCAGCGGGCACCGTGTGCGTGGACCGGCCCCTCGCAGGCAGGCCGTGGGGTGCCGGCGAGACGGTCGGACGCCTCAGGGCGGCGGGGAGGGCGGCGGCCCCTGTCAGGCGCCCGCTGCTGTCAGCAGGGCCGGCAGCGCCCACTGCGGCCCGGAGGCGCCCCGGAGACACGGGCTGGACACGCAGGGGCCTGGGCCTGGCGCCACGAAGCCTCCGACGGGCAGCTGACCGGCCTCTGATGGTGGACGGAGGGAGCAGCGCGGGGGCGGAGGGGGCGGCCATGAGCTCGACGGCACGAGCCGTGTCACCCTGAGAACCCCCAAAAGCGTGGCTGCGCCGACTGTAATACCCCAAGATTAACCTGGACCGGAGCTGCCGACCGGTGTCAGCGCGGGCGCGGCCTGCGGGCGGTGACCCTGGCGCGGCCAGAAAGGCAGCTTCTCCGCCAGCCCCGGCCGCCGTGGCCGCCCCCTCGGCTGCTCACCGGCCAGGAGGGCATTTACCGTCGCTGACCCGCTCGTCGCCCTTCCCTGCGGGTCCGTGTCCGGCTGCCCTTCGCCCCGGGCGGGGGAGGGGCATCACCCGCTCCCGCGGGGGCACCTGAGGTTCTCGGCCACGCGGCATCCACACGCCCCTTCCTGCCCCCGCCGCAGAGAGCAGCGTGCCCGTGGGCGGAGGACAAAAGGCTGTCTCCGTTTTCCTATGTTTTACTCTTATAGTCTCTTTTTTTTAGATTTATTTATTTCTGCATACAGAACTGGGGTCCAGGCCAGAGGCGCAGGGCGGTGAGAGGACTCACCAGAGGCAGAGTGGGGAGCAGCACAGGCAGATTGACAAGTACACTGTTGAGGGACAGTGGGGAGACAGGAGGGGCCCCTGGCTCTGGGGTCACTCCCTGGCCAGGACCGAACTCGTGCTACGATGGCTGCAGACAGCGTCACAGTGCGGTGCTGTGACCTGCTGCGCCACTAGGGAGGCCCTTACGTTTATTTTTAATGACCACGGACCCCCACTGTCTCCCGTTGCGTGGCTTGGCCCACGGACCCCCACTGTCTCCCATTGCGTGGCTTGGCCCACGGACCCCACTGGCTCCCCTTCTGTGGCTTGGACCACGGAGCCCC